GGTTCTAGAATTGCAATGGGAAGAGCTTTACCCTGCAGGCGCTTGCAGCACGGACAGCAGCTCGCTGTGGGTGTAGTCCCAGGTGGTTTCCACTGCAGCAATGTAGTATCTTCTCACTTTGCTGATGCCCTCCTCAACCAGGCAGAGAAGCAGGAGGCTGCTCAGGGCTCCCACCAGCACCATGCCTSCTGGCTGGAATCTGCTCTGACTTCAGCAGGAAAAGTGAAAAGGAAGGTATGAGAAAGGGAAGAGGAGAGAAAAGCCTTTATCTTCTCATGCAGCTGTTGTAATCCACCGGAGGTGATGATTTAAAGCCAGCACCCACRGACTCACTCAAAGTTTCTGGAGAGTTTCTCAAAGACGTCAGGAGAGGAATTGCTTGAGCAGGTTTGTGCAAAGAGCAGCTTGTGAATGGTGGACTCTCCTGCTCTTCCTCTGGCAGTGGCAGGAGGAGAGGAAAAAACAAAAGGAAAGGGAGGGCAAGCACAGCGGTAAGTTCCGCTGCAGGACCCAGCTGGCTCCGTGTCCTGTCCCCTGTCTGGGAGCACGATGAGGAAAGGGAGGGTTGCAGAGGAMGCAGAATTTAGGTGTAGTCTTTGCGTGGTCTCACCTTCTGTGTCACCTCTGGGAAGCGCAGTGGGTTGCCAGGGATGCACACGTACACATATGACTTATCCCTGTGCCCAGRATGCCTGCACTCCAAAAAGTGATGATTTGGCCACACAACCTCACCTCAAGCCACAGGGGAGGGACTGGGTTGGGATTATCCCCTGGAGTCCCCTTCCCACTAGCTGCTCCTCTTCTCCCAGGGTCCTGCAGTACAGCTCAGAAAAGATGCACCAAAACGTTTTTGCAAATTTCTTTCATTTTACTCACAAATCGTCAACCTCTCTTTTTAAAAGCCCATGAAATCCCCTCCCCCATCAATGCACACACGTGTGCTCAGGCACACACACTTCCACGTAGTTCTCCCTTGGCTCATGAAGGCAGGAAGATGAGGAGGAACGCCCTGCATGRTCCCAGCATCCACTGGATGAGAGAGGTGGGGAAATGTCCCATAAATCATGTTACAGGGCAGAGGGAGTGCAAYGGGAGCAGTGACCCCTTTGGTGACAGTCCCAGTGTGTGCAGAAGCATCCATGTGATGGGTCTTGGTGACTGGGAAACAGAGGGAGGCAGTGGAAGTGGTGGAGGGGTGGGCTTTTGGGGCTTTCTGACATGGATTCTTAGCACAGGGCAGAAAGTGACTCCCCCACACCACCCACCCTGCTCCTGGAAAGGCAAAAAACAGCCAGAAACATTTTCTCCAGCTTGTGCATACACAGTTGGCTCCATAATTAGCCTGGGGCTCCTTTTCTTTGTGAGCAACAACTCACCTCAATTTTTCCAGACAGTTTTTCAGGGCAAAGCAAGTGGTGTGTCACATTTGGGGATGCCCTGGAGTGCTTTACATCCTGCCCCGCTGCAGTGAAGTAGAAGAGTACTCAACACTGCAGGGAAGWGAGTTTTCTGGGAGAGAYACAGGAGATCTGGGCTATGCTTCAWGCACCAGTGCAGCATGGGTGTGACTTTATTCTAGTCATCCCATCTGGGAATCTCCTGGTGCTGTGAGACTCACCTGGAAAGGCTTCCAGAAACAAGCAGATGGGGAAAACATCAYCAAGCAGACAACACAGCCACAGAGAGGGCAGCTGAGGGCTGGCAGCATGGGATGGGCAYGTGGAAGGCTGTCAGGAGGGGTGCYTCAGCTCTGGGTGCAGCATGGAAGKTTCTTGACTCTAACCYTGGCAGGGGTGCTCCAGGCACCAYRGGATRACAACATCTGGAGATCACAGARGACRGKCAGGAAAAGCGTCCCTYGGGGCCTGCAGTGGCAGGAGACTGGACACAGTCAGAAATTAATGGTTGAAACACTGGAAAGTGCTGAATTGGTGGGTTTAACCATTTTCTACCTGCTACAGGGAGGCAGCTCCAGGTTCCTGGCCCAGACATGCAAGAGTAAACCTGAGACATGAGGTCTAACCCAGGGGACCCAGGGGAAAGAAAATAGTATTATCAAGATACTCCAGGTTCTAGGAAAGGGAATCGAGGTGTGAAACTTGGAAGCAACTTGGGGAGGGGGTCCATATCGTGGTCTTAGCTGCACACAGTGGCAGCTTTGTGCAGGCACACGAGAGCCAGTGTGGAGCAAAGCATGTCAAGGTCAGCTGGACATCCAGAGGGAGCCCCAGATCCCCCTCAGCCCAGCACGCCAAGCTGGAGCCCACATGGCCCAGCAAGAGCAAACATGATCCCAGCCATGGTAGGTGCCATCAGCAGCTGTGCTGCTTCCAAGGGCTCTGCAAACCCACATGGGAGTCTCTGCAAAGTGTCAGTGCCACCCATGRCTGGGTGAAGATGGGCCAGGCAGGATTGTACCTTTGAGAAAGCTGCAGAGAGGCATTCCAGTTCTGCCTGGAGCTCATCTGCCCCTGCCCAAGGGCACTGTCTTCCTGTGCAAATGTGATGGGAAAGCCAGGACAGACTCCTGCCATGGAGGCTCCCAGGGAAACATATTTTGCGAGAGCCAAGGACACACAGGCATGCAGAAAGTGTTGGTTGTTTCCCTGAATTGTGCAGTTCTCAGAACAGAAACRGACTGGAGCAGATAAAAATTACTCAGAATCATTTGAACCATGTCTAATCTCTTCTGGAACTTTTTTGTGCGTACGTGAGTGAACGAGCGATTTGTGACAGCTTCTCAGGAATGCTGAGTGTCTCAGGAGCAGCAGCCAGGCACAGGGCACACACACAGCACCAGGACAATGGCTGTGCCACTTAGGCCCCTTATATCAGCACTTCCAAGCCATTGCACCCCAGCAGTGATGGAGCAAAGAGGGGCTGCAGCCCAGTGCAGCTCTCAGAGGGGCGAACCCATGGACACAGGGACCCCCAGGGAACAGCAGTGCAATTAGGCTGATGCCATCAACACCCCTGAGTATCTGGCAAATCATCCCTGAGATTCCCTAGCACCAGAGTAGAAATACTGACATGGAGGAAGTCTCAAAGTCAAGCCTGCTTTCTTCTGCTGGGTTTCCCTGCAGCAARTAGGTCAGTGGAGCATTTCTCCTTTCTCTCTTGTTCCTCACATCAGAGGCATCTCTGAATGAGTCAGGCACCAGAAGCATTCACTGGAAGCTCGCTTAGGCTGGTGAACTCAGCCTGGCCATGGAGAGGTTGTGGTGCTGCTGGGAGGGAGAGACAGCCTGATGGGGAATGGTGTTTTGTGCCTGTGCCTCCAAAGCTGAACAGGGCTGCTCTCCAGGAAGGCACCTGGCAGGGAGCCCCAGTGGCTGTGAGCTGCTGTGGTGCTGCTGCTGGGTTCTGCCCTTGCACCCACCACCCCTGTGCTACCCACTGCACCGGGCTGTGCCTGAGCCCACYGCACAGGAGCCCCCAGCCCTGCAGCACCTGCACCCCCCATCAGCCCAGCTCCTTCCCTGCTGCCACCCGAGTACCTGCACCAGACCATGGTGCCTGGACACACAATGTGCAGGACAGCCCGCAGCTGGCAGGAGGTGTGACAGGAACCCTGCCTGCCCCCAGGGCATGAGGGCACCCCTTTGCTCAGGGCAGGGAGACAAAGCCAGGGACATGTACTGCACAGGGATAGAAGCCTGCCACGTAYCAGACATGCAGGAGACTCCAGTGCCACCTGATACTGGTGTTCAGATTGCATTTCCAGGGGCCAACTTGCCTCCAGCCATCCCCTCCCCAGCCACATCTTTTTCTTCYGTCCCCAGGGAAGTGCTGTCCTACCACTTTGGTGTGACCATGCACATACTGCCGCGGCCAGTTCCCCGTCATCAGGACAGTGCAGGAAACACATGGGACACTGCTGCAGTTCCCAACACGTCCCGTCTGCGTGAGAAGGACAGCGAGGTGCTGGGATGTCCTGACTGTGCAGATGAGTGCTGCTGTTAGCTCCTAGAACAGTCTTAGTTCCTAGAATAGTGTTTGTTCCCATCCCATCCCACGCTGCCTGCACTCCTGCTCCCCCTCACGCACTGCTTTCTGTTAACCCCAAAGAAGAGGTCAARTCTCCTCTGTCACAACCTCTCCATGAAGATTTTTTTAATTTTTTTTTTTGCTTGCTGTGTCTCAGGTTTTCCACCCTTGCTACGCCCTGGACAGCTGCATCCCCAGCTGGGAAGTAAGCAGCTTTTGTTCTACAGAAGCTCAATTGAGTGATGGCCGAGAAGTCAGAGGTGCCATTATTTCAGGGGAAATAATAAAATGTGTTCCAACCAAACAGCGAACCCTGGCTGCCCGGGGCAGAGGCACAACAGGCACAGCTGGGTGTGCTGGCTGAGCGCAGGGCAGCAGGATCCCCACAGTTTCCAACACTCCTGGCCCACGAGTGTCAGGGTGCTCAGCTGCCCAGGAAGGGGGTGGCTTTGGGGTTTTCAGCAAACAGCAAGAGGCACTGCTTCTGCAAAGTGACAGCTCGCAGCCAAGCAAGAGTGCCCATGTCAGAGAAAGCAAACCACAATGGGCTTTAGGGAGCTTATAAAGCCCCTTGGAAGCCCTCTGTCTTTCCCGGGATGCCGCTGGCGCATTGCTGATACTGAGCACCCGCCCCGCTCCGGCAGGAGCAGCGATGGCACCCGGGACGGCGGGGCTGAGGGGCCAGAGGAGCCGCTGGGGAGCGGGGGATGCGCTGCAGCAGCACAGAAGGGAAACCTTCCAGAGGGGGCACCTTCCAGAGGGAGCACCTTCCAGATGGCACCAGCGGGCACAGCCGAGGGCGGGGCGTACCCCCGGGCACTCCCGCGCTCCTTCACCCCCAGCCCCTCTTTCTTCCTTCCCGCCCCCTCTCTCCCCGTGCCCACCCTGTCCTCTCCCGCCCATCTCCCCTTGTCCCTCTTCCCTCCATTCCCCTCCCCTCGTCCCTCTCCCCTCCATTCCCCTCCCCTCGTCCCTCTCCCGGTCCCTCTCCGGGTCCCTCTCCCGGTCCCTCTCCCCTCGCCCCCGGCGGTGACGCGCACCCCGTGCCCGCGCCTGCGCGGAGCGCAGCGGCGTGATGGCGGTGCCGGGCGGAGGTGGGCCGGGCTGGCCGGGATGGCTCTGGGCGCGGGTGCTCCCACCCCTCTCCCCCTGGCAGCGGGTCCCCGGCTGCCCCAGCTCGGCTGCCCCAGCTCGGCTGCCCCAGCTCGGCTGCCCCAGCTCGGCTGCCCCAGCTCGGCTGCCCCAGCTCGGCTCCCCGCGGCAGAGCGCGGCCCGTGCCCTGCGCGGTGTCGTTCCCTTTGCCGGGGCCTGGCCCCGCTTGAGGGCCCGAGGGGGCGCTCCGGGCACGGGTCCCAGGGCGAGCGGTCCCGGACACGGGGTTCCGGCAGCCCTGGGAGGGGGCTGAGGGACCTGGGGATTCCCAGACACCGGGGCAGTGCCAGTCCCCGTGAGCTGTGTGTCTGGGCACGGCTCCTGTGTCCCTGGGGAGGCATCGGGCAGCTGCAGGGGGCTGTGGTACGGTAGTCCCAGCACTGAGCCTCTCCAGGTGCCTGCAGGTGCGAAGGACGACACATTCAACGTGCTGGACCTGGCGGAGTACACCAAGAACCGGCCCTGGTGGCGCAAGATCTTCGCCCCCAACTCGGGGTCGAGCGCTGAGAAATACAATGTGGCCACGCAACTGGTGATCGGAGGGGTCACGGGATGGTAAGATGTGCCGGGGATGCCCTTGCTGCTCACGGCAGGCACTGGCTGGGTCTGCGGKGTCACACTGACAGGTGCAGGCTGGTCATGTGGCAGTCATTCAGAGACGGAGGTGCTCAGCCTGCTGTCCCCTGGCATGGTCTGCTGAGCTGTGGGAGGTCTTGAATGCTGTCTCTAACTTAAAGGATTTGAGACTGTCTCTAAGGAAAGAAAACTGCACCAGCTTTTAATTAGTTCTAACTTTTGGCAGAAAGTGGTGCTGTTGAATTAGGACAGACAAATATGAAGCCCTTGAAACAAGGGTGCCATCTACACTGGAGGTGGATGTGTTTTGGGCATGTGCATTGAAAGCCTCCTGGGGCCGCAGTTCCTTGGGTTTCTTGTCATTTGTGGCTGGGACTGAGTGTGGCTGTATTTGTAACTTCATTCCTACAGCATCATTTCAGTTGAAAATTTTGTATAATCACTGCTTTCTTSTTGCCATGCCTCTCCTCTTCACCTGGCGCCAGGGTAATTATTTAACAGTGTGTGACAGAGTTTTGTCGTCTCATAGAAGTGTGAACTGGCCCACTTCTCTCTTGTATCTTCACTAAGTATTCAGAAATGGGTAAAGGCAGGTTTCTATGTCGTTTGCAATGCTCATAAAGGAACCGTGTTCCAAGTAAAGTGGTTTGGGTGGCACAGCACACCAGCCCTTTGCTGCCTGACTGAGCAGTGGGGTGCTGCTGGCTGCAGGAGTGTCTTTCATGTTGAGAGCATATAACCCATTTTAGAGACCATATAGTCTTAGATCACTGCTGTGTGCTTGTTCCAGCATTTTTCTCTTCTGAGAAATGAAAAGGTAAAGTAARCAGTTGTTCACTGCTTATTTTACAAATAAGTGAGAAAGAAGTTTATAATCTGCTCCCCATGCTCTCATGGAGCAGCACATGTGCTCCCTGATTTCCCCTCAGAGATGAAACCAGTCGAAAAAACCACAAAACCTAAAGTCACTTGTTGATTTTGGTGAAATCACCAAACAGGGTTTTGGTTACWCTTTTGGGAGAAGGATGATATTGAAGGTATAAGACTCAAACTGCAAAAGGCTGATGTGTGACAGCATAAGTGAAAAGCTATAAAGCATCAATTTTGGCTGGGTGCAAATCCTCTCTGGTTGTACATGGGTTTCTTCTGCTGTTTGTCAGGCTGTCTCCAGTCTTGGGTAATTCCTGCCAAAGGCAGCCTTGCCTGTGGGAAGCTTAATGAGAGGTGCATGTGGTGTTTCATTCTGCTGACTGGAGCCTGGTTGATTTGTAGGTGTACTGGATTCATCTTCCAGAAAGTTGGAAAGCTGGCAGCGACAGCAGTGGGAGGTGGCTTTTTCCTACTTCAGGTGTGTATRAACAGCAGCCCAGGCTCTCCAAGAACTGTGCTACTGGGGACAAGGTCTCTGTAGGAATCACTGCCTGTTGGGACATGTGGGGACAGTCCCCCACTCTGCCAGGGGCTTTGTGTGGCTGTGAATGTCAAAGGTGTGTGTGCTCTCCAGGGCAGAGGGATGCATCAGCAAAGCATGGTCTGTGTGCATGAACTCCTGGGCTGCCAAAAGGTGCAGATCCACTGAGGATCTGCTACCAAAAGCACAGGAGAGTTGTTACTCCAGGGCCACCTGAGTGGAGCATGAGACAGCCTTCTCCTGCAGTGAATCATGCTGCTATTGCAGGACTGGCTAACATACTGAGTCCTGTGCCTGTGGACAGCGTGTCCCTGGAAGGACAGCCCTGGATGTCAAGAACGATTTATCCGTATCTGTGATATGCTTCTGCCAGCCTGGCTTCTTGAGGAGTCCAACCAACACAGATGGGGCTTGCTGTAAAGCACTGGGGAAGAGGAGAGAAAGCAGAGATCTCTCTCTGCYCTCTACCACTTCTGGTATCCAACAGCCCTGGCACTGAGGGAAGCTGCTTGGATGTGGACATCTAACTGGTGCATCCTGCAGCAGGTAGAGCAGCTCTCAGACCTTTTTCAGCTCTCACCTGTTTGCTCCTCAGGCAGACAGGTCTTGTGTGTGACTCATTCTCCCTCACTCTCCTGATTCTGCTTGTTCTGCTGAAAGTGAAGAGCTTGGCCTAAGCAGAGGGAGTTCCACAGCTGAATCACCCTGAGCAGATAAAATAGTTTGAGAGGAACAGGCTATTAATAGCTGTGTCCACCCTCAGCAGCGGGAGAACTGCAGGGAGTCCCAGCAATATCCATGGCAGTTGTGAGGGGGAGGTGATGTCAGCTTTACATTGGGGAAGAGAGGCTGAAGCAGGCTAAGCTGCAGTGTGTGCCCAGCTGTTGGGGGATTAGTGTGGAAGACAGATGTTGCAGAACAGTTGACACAGCTCCAGGGGTGGTTTTCTGTCCCATTTTTAAGTCAATGTTCTCACTGGATCAGTGTGTGGGAAGTGGCTGTGATCGGGGAAGGTGGGTGGACAAGGGGGTCTGTTYAGCCATGGTCATGCAGGACTTCAGGAATGTTTTTTCTAATCCTCAAAACTCCAGATTGCAAACCACACAGGATACATTAAAGTGGATTGGAATTTAGTACAACGGGACATGAACAAAGCCAAGCAACAGCTGAAGTTTCACAGCAGTGGTAATAAAATGCCTCCAGAAGTGAAAAGCAGAGTGGATGAGGTAAGAAAGCTCTCCCAGGGCATGTGCTGGAAGGACAGCAGAAAACAGGATTGACTCCTGAGTTGTCACAGATCTTCCATTGTACAAATACAAGGAGGGAATTCTTGCATGACAGCAAAACTGGAGAGATGGCAAAAGCTGTGGATGTTGTCTGCCTAGACTTTAGGAAGACAACATTTCCCACAGCATTCTCCTGGAGAAACTGGCTGCTCATGGCTGAGCAGGGTGAAAAACTGGCTGTGCTGGTGCAATTAGGGAGGGGAGGTCGTTAGGTAGGAATTCCCAAATCCAAGCAGTGGCATCTCTCTGAGCATCACTTGCCTCGAAGAACAACCTGAGGGATTTCTTCTTAGGAGGAGGTTTAGTGGGTGGCCTGATGTTGTTGAGCACTGTTGTCTCTTCTCTTCCCTGCTTAGGTGGTCATATTTCTGAAGAAGAATGTTATCCTGACTGGAGGGTTTGCTGGAGGATTCCTGCTTGGAATGGCATCCTAGAAGCTGCATTCTCCTCTCATGCCCAGCCTCCCCTCCCCTCTTCCTCTGCTGTTATCTCTCACTTAGAAGTGAAAGGATGTTGCCAACAGACTCAGTCCCATCTGCTCACAGGTTCCAGCCCTTATTTCTTAGAACGCTGCTTCTGATTTCCAACTTTTTCTTCTGTCTGGGCTGTTAGTGGGCTGGGGTTGGTCTGAAAGCTTACAACTCCCAGTGTACCATTATGATTTCCCAACAAATATGCCCAGTCCCAAATTGTTGGAGTTGGAACTTCATAAAAATGTAGTGGCAGAGAAACCTCTTAAATGTGCTTCTTCCAGGTGCTCAGGACTGTTACATGTACCTTTGTCTGCCAGTATATGTGTACAACAGCTGTCAGCTCTTCACCACTGTTTAGCTTTCAGTATTCCTGCCCTGGTACCTGGAAAACCTCTGCTTCCCTCGGCACAGAGGTGGTCTTTGCAATCCAAATCGTGGTTGACTATCCTGGGGTGGATGCAGAAGTGTCAAAGGACAGTGTGAGCTGTGTCCARGATAAGTGAATATGGATTTTCCTGCCCTCCCCCTGCTGTTGCACTGCACATAGATGGCCATGTGGCTTTCTCTCTGCTGTTAGTCTTCCCCATACTGGAATTGCAGCACTGGCCCTGCTGATGGAAATGAGCACTGAGGCTGACTCTCCAGGCCCTTTCCTCATCATGTGTTCTGAAAGTCACCAAGTCCTGTGCTGCAGAGCCACCRGACTGCTCAGCCTTTGGGGCTCTCTGCTGCTTCCAGCAGGCTTGACCTGGCTGTGTCAGATGGGGGCATTTCAGCTATGCCACTTACTGTAAATCACCCTGGGCCTCTCACTGGGCTTTCCATGGCTGCCACGACCTTCTCTGGTCACTTTGGTATTGGTGATGCTGTTTGAGCTGTAACCATGTAAGACAGGACTGTAGACAGGAAATGCATTCCTGCTTAGGGTGCACTGTACTGGTCCAGGGTCCCTGTTGCCAGCTCTGCAATGTGAAATCTGGAGTGCGATCCTTTACCTCTCCGTAAAGAGCACAAATTCCTTTTCCCTGGTCTCTGCAAGCAACTGAAATGACAAAACTCATGTGAAAACCAGACTGTGCTTTTGTGAGAGCGGTTCGTTTGCATACTTCTGCCTCCGTTATGTTCCTTCCTTCTTTGTGTTTGCCATTTCCACAAGAAGAGCTGCTTGCTTAATTCCATCAGTTGCAGCTCTTCTGCAGGTGATGAGGCAGCTCAGGTGCAGAGCTCAGCTGTTTCTGGRCAGTCTGATTCAGTGCAGTTGTGTGCAGCACAAACAAACATCCCCCAGAGGTATTCTGTGAGCATGGAGACTTGCCTGACAGTGTGRTGATGTCCTCCAGAAGGCAGAGATAGGAGTTCTTGCCCAGAATGTGGGGTTTTGTGTGAAAGCTCATCCTTCAATGGGAAACGGGGTAGGGAGCAAGACACTCATGGGTGGTTGGTTTGCAGCAKCTGGGTCGGCAGCTGCACCCCATTTCCAGTGCTGTGCAACACCTTTGTGATCTGCTGGAAATGGGATTTTCCCCGAGAGCTGCTGACAGAGCTGGAACGGTGGTTCTTCCACCATAGGGTTTGGAATGAGCGCTTGCAGTTGTTAATTTTGTTTCAGCTGTGTTGACTGAAGTGTCAGTGTAGCACCGCATTGATTAAACTGAGGTTTTTCTCAGCTTCAGAATTTRAAAAGAGGATGCAGGTAATCAAGAGGCAGAAGTTGGTGTCTTTGCTCCTGTCCTGCCATACATGGCCAAGGACAATGAAGGAGCAGCTGGGCTCACATCCTTTTAATGGAGGCCTACCTATAGGCCATCCTGAAATGTAGAAGTGATGGGATGCAGCACATAGGTCTTCAATAATTGGTGTTTGGCAGCGAACAAACAGATGATGGTGGTGGGTTTTGGAGGTTTGGTTTGTTTTTCTGTAGGGTCTGCAGACGTGAATTTGCATAAATTGATACATTAGTCTTGCAGGGTATCTCTTGTTCCTGTAGGACAGCAGCATTGCTGCTCTTTGGCTGGGTGTGCTGCAGAACACAACTTCTGAGATGCACTGATCTCCACAAAGCTTTCTCCAAAGACAAAGCTCAAAGCAAATCATTAACAGACTTTAGGGACATTTTTCAGGCTCAAGTCAGTCACTACTTCTGCCCAGCCGAGGTGGGGTGGGTTCTGCTCAAGTCCCAGTTTGCTGCTACACAGAGAAATGGCCCAGAGAGGGAGCTAAAATGCCTCTGTTGCTGCTGGAAGGGAAAAMAAGTAACAGATTCATATCGAGTTTGCTGTAAATGTAGGCAGGGAATGGACAAGGACATCAAGATGTGGTAAATCTTTATTTTGTGCTGGTGTTGGGCTCGTGGCTGGCACTGTCTGATGCTGTGAGTCCACACTGGAAGCTTTGATGCTGAATCAGCCTCTGTGGGGATGCATTTTCATTGCTGCAGGTGCCAAGATGAGGCRTCCCTTCCCCTCCCCACTCCTGCTCCTTTGAGTCTTCTGACATCTGTTACACTATGAGAAGATTTCAAACACATTAGGCTTTTAAAGTGGTTTTATATATTGTATGTAAATGCTTGTTGAAGTGATATTTTATTAAACAGTTTTGCTTTAAATACTTCTCTGTGTGATGTATGTTGGCTTCCTGGGAACCAGCATGTTCTTGTCTCCCTGTGCCTCAGGGAAGCAGCTACAGCCAGTCCAGCAGCAGGAGTGCAGCAGGTGGCACTTGGGGACATGGGTTAGTGGTCAGCTTGGCAGTGCTGGGGGARCRGCTGGACTGGAGGATCTTMGAGGTCTTTTCTAACCTAAATGGCACCAGCATCCCCTCATCCATGCAGGGAACCATGGGCTGCCTTAATAAATCCCTCTCCCTGATCATCCTGGTGCCAATCACGCACATTCCCAAGAAGTCGTATGCTTCTAGGGCMGGAGGTGGTTCTGTTGCCAGTCTGGATTGCCTCTGCTGAGCAAATTTGTTCCACCTGACTGCAAATGGGCATGGAGACAAGGCTGTTTCTTTTTCATAGGTGCAACATAAGCCTAAATATATATTTTTAAACATATATTAGTGACTTTTATAATCTATTAGTGACTGTTCCTGCTCAGATAGGGCAAAAGAAAWATGAGCTACTTGTCAGTGTTTGAGATGGTTCACACCATTGCAAAATAGGGAAAAGTGATGACAAAGACACTAAAGCTTCTGCTTTGTCTTCAGGATTGTTTCTTTGGGGGGAGGGCAGTTGGAGGGAAGACAAGCCCTAAATTATTCTGGTCTTCAGCCCCAGTTATAAAAATATCAAGCAGCTTCTATTTAAGCATGCTGATCTCACATGTGGCTCTGGGCTGTGAATGGCAGCCAAGCTGCCTGGCTTGCAGCTCAACAAACAACCCAACAGACATCATAATTTGTTCCAGTCRTTTATTTTGTACCATGGTATTTCAGAGCAGTGAATACAGATGGTTTGCTCTTCTAAGCTTCAGTATACACACTATTGTGCCTAGACCTCAGCGGTCTGTTTATAGAGGATCTATTTCATAAGTAAGTTGTACTTGCTCACAGCACAAAAGTCCTTTACGGCTAGATCTAATCACAGAGTTAGGGCCTAGTGGGTCGGGAGCCTGATATTGGGTGCCTGGACTCCTGCTACAGCGGGGACAGCACGACAGGCAGCTCTGAAGGGTGGTGCAGGAACCTGTCTATGAGCTCTTCCTACAGGTCACAGGAAATTCTGCTGCRTGGGCGAGAGCTTCTGGAAAGCCATCTCTTCTGGGGTCCAGACACAGCCAGCTTGAGAGTGAGTCTGGAATGCTGTGTGGAAAACAACTGCCTACAACTGCTTGTTCAGTAAGCAGCACCTAAGTCAGTTCTTGGATCTAGCCCAGGGCTCTGTGAAAGGCCTTTGGGTATCAGCAGGTTTAACTAGACTCGGATTAATAACATATTGCTTTAAGGTGCTCAATTAGACATAAATTTATAAATTTTGTATCAACAGTCAGATTTTTCAAAGGAATATTGCTTTTTWAAAAAAATAACCTATCTCTGTAGCAATCCCTGAAATAATTTCTGTAACATCTCTGACATGCAAATAGCAGCGTGTAGGCAATTCAAATATAAAATAAACAACTCTTGTCCAGTGGAAAAGGGGAGGCACTTAGGCAAAGTGACTTGTAGTCACTCATGATCTATGCAAGACTTAGGAACAATCATCAGACCTGATTCCAATTCTTGAGCTTGATCCACTGGACAGGCAAATGTTAGCTGGAACTACTGCATGGTGGCAGCAATACATTTGTTTTTTCAAGATAGACTTGTTTCATGTTTAAACTCACTCTTCTGAGCTCATTTCCTGTACCTTTCACTCCAGAAGCCAGAATAACTTGGTTCCAATTCTCCATTCTGAAAGCAAGGATGGATTAGAGTAAGGTAAGCATACTAAAAACATCAAGATGACATTTCACAGGTGTGATGCAGAGGCAACACAGATGATGTTTTCGTACAGAAAATAAAGTTTGTTAACCAGGCCATGTGGTACTGTGTTGTACTTTTTGGTGTGCCGAGCAGTGTGTTCTAGGAGCAATCTGGCTTTTCTGAAAGTCTGAAGAAGGCTTGAAAAAACACACATGAGCTCTGCAGGTGAGTCCATGCTCCAGCATCTGCTGGAGCTGCATTGTTACTGAGGTGGTGGGGAAATTCTTTCTGAAGTCAACTTAACCTTTTCTCTCTCCCTTTCTTCTCTCTCAAACCCTGAACAACAGATGGATCTGCCCTTGGTGTACCGGGCACAGCATTTCCGCATTTCCTGAAGCACAGCTTCACACTTGGACTCCATGTAGTTGTTCTCTGGAAAACAAGGAGGAGACATCGGGTCTGCAGAGAGGAACAGGCTTTGTTCCCTGAGGGAACACACCTAGCCCAGCTCTTCAGCTGCTTACAAACATTCCATCATTTTCAGTGCCTTACAGAAATCTCTCTTTAGTTCCAGCCATCTAAAGCTGTGGCCAAACACTCCCTGCAGGGASAGGAGCTCTGCAGGAGCAGACTGAGTCTGGTTTGAGTTAAGAACCACCTGCCTGTCTGCCGAGAAACACAGGGCATGCAGAGCCACCTGCTCTGCCTTGGATGAGCTCTGCAACCACTACACAGCTGTACCCCACCGCCCTGCCCCTGACTTTAAAAAGATTAAAAGAAGCAACAGCAGCATAATGTGACACACACAGCACCCATAGAGAGCCCAGAAAGCAGCAGTGAACACCTTTGGTTAATGAGCAAACCTCAGTGCTCTGATCACTGGGCTATGAATTCCCTGACTGGGTTGGTGAGTGAGCTGTAACACAAACACCAAGATCACCCAGGAGAAACAGGTGGTGATTTCTGTAAGCTGGCAGCCCAAGAAGCACAGCAGACCCTTGGCAAGGACAGCTGATCCCTCTCTGCTATAAGCTGCAGTCGGTGAGTGCTCCAAGGCTCTCCTAATTGTCCCTCTGCCTTTGCAGTTTTGTTTCTAAAACTGTGGCTACACACAGGCACACCCTGTAAACTGTCAAGGTTGCATTCCTGAAAATGCGCAATGATTAGTCACACAGAGAGATTTACAGTGGGCATTCAGTCTCACAGAGGAAGCAGCAAGATCTTTTGGAACAGTGACTTCTGAGAAGTCAGCATCTCCTAAAGGCCTGGCTCCCACCATCCATCCTCCATGCCAGGTACAGGGACTGTGCATTCCTCAGTAAAAGCTCTGTATGTTCATTTTTACAGGAGAAAATTGCTTTGCTCTCTGTCAACTCAGCTGCTTCACCTGTGCACCTCAGACAATTCCACAGCACAAGACACAAACAGGAGCAATCCCAAATGACAGCTCAAGCAGCAGCGACAGTGAAGGGTGCATGCAGCAAAGAGCTTCTCTGCCAACACTAAACCATTCAGATCAACCCTGTACACAAACCTACGCAGGCAAAACACTCGGAATGACCTCCATGAATGTTATAAAAGAAACATTGTCTCAGATGGGACCAAAACAGGGTCAACCATAAGCTTTTAAGTGCAGTAGTACAGGGAGAAAAGAAGTCCTTTGTGGGAGAAGGCTCCAAACCRTGAAGACAGTAAAAGGCAGTCTAGAAAAATGCTGGGAACATAAAGACCATCTCATACCTTGAGGACAAATCACCTAACCTGCTCCTGACAGACTTCTGTCTGCTCTTAAAACACCTCTGGAGCAGCTCTGCAGTGTTCTCATGCAATCCACCTACTCCCTCACTAACCACGCTGTAAGAGAGCTTATTATAATGTCTAGCTCTCCCTGCCCACAGCTGAGTCCAAAAATACACCTGGTATCTCACTGCCAGCATGGAGAACACTCCAAGCACATTACATTACTGTAATTACTGTTACTAATGCTGTTTTATACTAATAATGTCTCATTATTTACAATTAAGCACAAGGCAATTCTATTAAAATCAGACATTATAATTTTGTTTGCTTTGCAACCAGGTGATGCTAATRTGCTTCCTTCCTTCTCAAGGTGAAAGGACAAGAAGGTTAAGTTATAAGAATTAAGTCCCATCAAAAATGAAGACATCAAAGACAAAATGACACTTGGTACCTTGCAAGCATTTCTGTATTTCACAGGCTTGTTTCTGGCAGGGATCCTTCCGAGGCATGTTCAGGAACTAAAATGATARGAAAATGTTATTGTAGATCAAGGTGCTTTTCAGAGGGTGAGGGAAAGACAATGTCCTACAGCCACATCTTTCAAGAGCTCCCAATTTCCCCCACAATCACCATTCAGAAAACATCTGCGGCTGCTTGCAGATTCCTGCCAACATACACAAGARCACTCTGTGTCTGGCTAAAAGATGATGATGGGGACAATGAATATGGGAAGTTTTATGTCACTAAGTTTAAAAGCCTTTCTCTTTTCTCTGGTCAGAACATGTCCTTTTCCATTTGGATGTATGAAGATTCCTGAAAAGATTTAAATTAACATGGCTGACTGAGTTTTACCAGTTTTCTACCTCTAGACCTTATTTATGTGAAATCCACCTCTGTGAGCTCTACACAACCAAGGATTTGGTGTAAAGTCACAGAAGTACGACTGGAGAAGGCATTTAAAAAACACAATCAACCAAATAACTCAGTTGTGTACAACCCACAGAGTCAACAAGGAGGGTTTTTTTTCATTTTTTTCCCTTGGAAATCCTCTCCCTCTATCCAAAAAAAAAAAAACCTCTACCAGATTGGAGGACAGCTCCATCTTGTTCCAAACCATAGGAAACAGGATTTCAGGCAATCAATTCGACTTTCTGCAGCTGTGTCACCTGTAATTGTCACTGTGAGAACAAAAGCCAAGCAAAAGCTGGTGGAACCAGCGGTTGAACAGGAGACCTCTAAGAAAAGCACGACTGTCACTGAAAGCAGTGGTGAGACTGAACCCTCTGAGCCACAGTTCAGCCACTGCTCAGAGCTGGGAGCTGCTGCCTTTCCAATTTCTCACAAGTCACCAGCCCACAGCACTTCTCAGTATCACTWGGGCATTATTTCCAGCATCCTGGCCATATTCCACTTGGGGTAATTACATTCTGCCTACGTAGAACTCCCCCTGATGTTTCACTTGGTCACA